AATAATAATGCATGATAAAGGAGGACATGGGAGGAAATGCAGAAACTAATGAGCAGGCAGAAAAGAGAAAAACCTTTTCTAGAGAAACTGAACTTGAAGAGAGTGTTGAGGATCAGGGCAATGGTAGTGGAAGACCACATGATGTTAGACAGAGGGGACCACTGGAGGGTTATGACATACACAACACATCATATGACGTTCAGAAGCAGGAACAGGAACTCAGCAACATGAATGCGAGAGAAGAATATCCTCAACAAGTTTGTGTGCGAGTTGAGAACATGATGGATGTAAACAGAGACAAGGATGGAAAGATGTCAGGTGATGAACTGTCAGGAAGGAGAGACCTCAACAGGGACGTAGAGCATGTCAGACAGGAAATCAGTGTAAAAAATAAAGATGTTGCTGTAGAGACCAAAAAGCAGGAAGAGACAGGATATAACAATCCTATTCAGGACAGAGCAGACTCTTCTCTTAGACGAACAGGATCTGCAGGAAGCAGCAGACTGACTGAGAATCAGGGAGTTGACAGTGATGAAAAGACGAGACACAGGCAACCAAAAGTAATACCTGAATATAATGAAGATAGAGTGGAAGAAAGACATGGTCCAAAGAAGACAAAAACATATCAAGACAGTGGAGGATTGGACAGTATTAGACAGAACATAAGTGAAGATCTGGTTGGTTCACAGGAAGTTGGACAAGATTATGTCTTCAAGCCTGCTAGTGTGGACGAACAGGGAGATGAGGAGAGGATGAAAAGAGATGTTGAGGTAGACAGGAAAAGAAAAACTGGAGCAGATGAAAGGGGGTTGGCATCAGGGGGAAGTACTCTCCTGACAAAATATGACCTCTACTCTCATCAGATTCAAGACAATAGAAGAGTATGTGATAGTGAACAGAATATGCTAAAATATGATCAGGAGAGTAAACAGAGAAGTAGTAGCAAGTATAAAAGACGTGAGCAACACAAAGAGGAAACAAGGGATGTTGAAGGAGACAAGGAACACAAGAGAGGACATGATAAACATTCACAAAGTAGAGAAACAGAGAGACGACAACACTTTGGTCGAGATGTAGCAGATCAGAACATTAGAGGATTAGATGTCAGACAGAAAACTAGTGTTACACATACAATAAATGAAGATGTTGCTGTAGAGACCAAAGAGCAGGAAGAGACAGGATATAATAAACCTATTCAGGACAGAGCAGACTCTTCTCTTAGACAAAGAGGATCTGCAGGAAGCAGCAGACTGACTGAGAATCAGGGAGTTGACAGTGTTGAAGATAGAGTGGAAGAAAGACACGGTTCAAAAAAGACAAAAACATATCAAGTTAAGATAATTGAGGAAGAGATTAAGGAAACTCCCAGTGGCACTCAAAGAAGCTGTGAGACGAAACACATAGGAACTGTAGAGGAAACTTCACAACAGGACACTTTGTCAGAGGGTGTTCACAATTTAAAACTGAGTGAGGGAAATAAACGTGGAACCAAAAGAGCCAATAGAAATGTGGAAGATAAGAATGAGATAAGTCCTACAATTGATTCAACTTCCGTAAAGAAACAAAAGCAAAACTCTGACAAAAAAGATGAGGAGAAAAGAAAATTGAGGTTTATCCCTTTCAAGAAAAAGACAAAAGAAAAAAAGAACAAAACGACTGGCTGCTTTTCACTTTTGTCAGGTTGTAAAAACAAGACAAACTCGGGATTAGACTCTGAGGAAGATTAAATACATACTTTGTCCAGGACAACACATATTTTTGACCGAGTCATTATGGTGATCCACAGATTTCATTTTTAGGTTTTGATTGATGCGTATTGATACGTAGCAATAGCTACATGCCAGAGATTCAGTATTGTACTGAATATTTTCCCTTTGATTTTTATTTTTTATTTTTTTGGTTAATGCAGTTTGATTGTCTGTTGGAAGCACTCTTTTGTTTCTTCAGTCTGGTTCAATCTATTCAACAGATCACCTTTTCTGATTGTTGGTAATGTAAAAAGCAGCACTTCCTGTTTTCCACAGGATTGTTTCTGTGTAAAGAGCAGCAAATGTTAAAGATTTAAGAGAGAGAGGGTTGTTTTAGGTTAAAGTACTGATTTATTGTGACAGTCTGTAATAGGAAGTAAGACAATAGAAAACTTAATACAAATGTAAAGTTAAAGAAACACAAGATCACATTTTTGCTCATTTGAAATCACATTCTGATTTTTGTCTTTTGTTGCTGTTCTCACCTTATTTAAATTTACAGTTTATACAGTTAAAGACGTACCGACCTTTTACATTTTGTTTTCAAAATAGAGATATAGAGATATATAAATAGATGGCGTGTATGTTGCATCGACAAGGGATTGTGTAGTGAATTATAATTCAAATGTAAAGATGTTTGATGTGTTGTTTTGTTGTACTGTTTTACTCTACAATAGTACAAAATACTGCTTTATTTTAAATGAATGAGGCCTATTAGTCTCAGTGTTGTTGACCAGAGAGCACTTACTGTACTTTTCATATTACTGCATTGCCCTCTGACTGATGTTATAGATGTTTTAGATTTTATGTTTATCACTTTGAACTGAAATATTTATGTAATTTGTACAATTCTGATGCTGATTTGAAGAAATAAAAAACTACATCAGGAGAAAATGAAACAAATACTTGGATGAACACTGTTTTTGTGGAAAGTCATAAGTTATTTGTTGCCTAAATCACAAATTTACCTCAAAGGGCTTCACAATCAGTATGACATATATGACCCCTCTATTATTAGAAAAACACGACAAGAAACCAAGATTAATAATATGATAATCACCAAAACTGTTACTTTTGTGAGCAGAGTCTGGTATTGACAGCAGCAATCTGTGAGACTGTGTTCAGGATTATTAGTCACCTTCACTGTTAACTTCCACATGGTCAGTCTGATTGTCACATGTTATTTTTAATCCTTGTTCTACCAGTTTAACGTTACCTGGGAACTGATCTGAGGACACTTTGTACAAAGAAATACATATTTGAGATATAAATACCTCTGTCTGTGTTGTGTCACTCTTGAAGAGCACTGAGATTTAATTTTCACTTTCAGTCTCTCACATTTACAGAAATTCACATGACAGGTTTATTTTGATCCGATGTTAAAAATGTATAAGTTTTATTCTTATGATCTTTCCATATGACAGCTGAACACACAGCTGAACATGCAAGAGTTCTGACAAAATAATTGACTCCTATTATTCACATTTATGTGCTTATTACCTAAAATTTTTAATTTCAGAATGAATCTGCCACTTAAACAGTGTTTTATGTTGTGCTAAGCACAAAATCCTTCTCGCACGCACAATTTTTAACAGTGTCTGCCATTTAACCTTCTTACTCTCATTTGCATAATTGTAATTGCCATATTTCCGAAAAACATTGAATGCATCATTTCAGTGGGTGAAAGTGAAAGGGAGAGTATTTTCTTTATTTTGAAGAGAGGCGTCTTGCTGTATGTTTGCAATTATTTGCACATCTGTGCAAAAACAATTTTCCATTTATCAGTCAAAATCTCTTTAACTTCCATCTGAAGGTGAGCTCGTATCGTTTCTTCTGTTTTCTTCAGTATGTCAGTTTCTGTTGCAGTGGATGATCTCTATGTGGACTGAAAATTAAAGGAATCAAAATGGAAAGTGCTCGACAGATGTTCCAAAACAATGCAGGTAGGTTATTTACTGCAGTTTTTCATCCACAGTAATTGTTATTACTTAGAGGTCCGTGTATGTTTTGGTCATTGGATTTTCCTTTCAGAAACGGGTATTAAAAAACAGAAAACGAGTGGTTATTTGATTTTCGTTATAAAATACAAAAATTAAAATTGAAATACAAGGCGTTTTTCCTTTTCATGGTCAGAAAGGGATGAGCAAAATTTAAAAAATATTCGATTTACATTTTCTATTTCATATAACAAAAAATAAAATCACTAGAAAACAAAACAGAAAAAAGGCCTGTTTTTTCATATTCTGAGACCGGATGTTGTCATTTACAGGACGGTGCTGTGGAGAAGAAAACAGTAGGCTAGTAGACTGCGGTCAATCCAGCCGTGAGTCCGATCTCCGTGGTCAAATCAGCCGCACTTAAATTTAGTGTACAATTATTCTCAGCATTATGGTAAATGCGGAGAAACAGCGTATTTACTTCCGGTTTTCAAAATAAAGGTATTTAGAACAGTAAGCTATAATTAAAATATGTTACATTAAAGTGTTTTATGCGCCCCTGATGAATAAAAAACACTTTATATCAAGTATCTTTACTGCACCAGTGTGGAGAAATGCAAAAATAAAAGCCTCATATGTATGCCTCCAGAGATTGCATATTTGACCATATTTGAGGTACTGTAAAAACATATTGCTCAGTGTTTCCTGGCTACTTATGGTATATTTGACTTTTATACATGTGAGATTACAAGCATACTTAATATCAAGCATTTTTACTGTACCAATTTGAGAAATTCAACAATAAAAGTCCATATTTGTACCTCCAAGTGGTATGTTCATATATTTGAGCTACTGTAAAAACACTTTGCTCAATACCTGGCTATGGGTGAAGTATTTTCATTATACTTCAATAATGATGCAGTAATCATGACAAAATTTCACACAAATGTTTAATAACATTTTATAAAAAAAATATAATATAAAGACTATTTATTTTGGCATTTCTCCACACTGGTGCAGTATACTTGATATAAAGTGTTTTTTATTCATCAGGGGTGCATGAAACACTTTAATGTAACATATTTTATTTTAAATGTAGGTTCGAATTATAGCTTACTGTTCTAAATACCTTTATTTTGAAAACCGGAAGTAAATACACTGTTTCTCCCCACTCTAAATTTAAGTGCGGCTGTTTTGACCACGTGGATCGGACTCACGGCTGGATTGACTGCAGTCTTCTGGTCTACTGTTTCTTCTACACAGCACCGTCCTGTAAATGACAACATCCGGTCTCAGAATATGAAAAACAGTCTTTTTTCCGTTTCTGTTTTCTAGTGATTTTTTTTTTTGTTGAAAAATGAAATAGAAAATGAAAATCGAATAATTTTTTTAAATTTAGCTCATCCCTTTTTGACCATGAAATAGAAAAACGCCTTGTATTTCAATTTTAATTTTTGTATTTTAAAACGAAAATCAAATAACCACTCGTTTTCTGTTTTTTAATACCTGTTTCTGAAAGGAAAATCCAATGACCAAAACATACACGGACCCTTAGAACAGTTAATTTACATGAATTATGAACAACCTCCTCCCAACAGTTCAGTACCATGGCGGTCCGTGTATGTCCGTGTTTGTTATATTTCATATAACAAAAATTAAAATCACTAGAAAACAGAAACAGAAAAAAGGCCTGTTTTTTCATATTCTGAAACCGGATGTTGTCATTTACAGGACGGTGCTGTGGAGAAGAAACAGTAGGCTAGTAGACTGCGGTCAATCCAACCGTGAGTCCGATCTCCGTGGTCAAATCAGCCGCACTTAAATTTAGAGTGTACAAGTATTCTCAGCATTATGGTAAATGCGGAGAAACGGCGTATTTACTTCCGGTTTTCAAAATAAAGGTATTTAGAGCCATAAGCTATAATTAAAATATGTTACATTAAAGTGTTTCATGCGCCCCTGATGAATAAAAAAACACTTTATATCAAGTATCTTTACTGCACCAGTGTGGAGAAATGCCAAAATAAAAGTCTCATATTTATGCCTCCAGAGATATTTGACCATATTTTAGGTACTGTAAAAACATATTGCTCAGTGTTTCCTGGCTACTGATGGTATATTTGACTTTTACACATATGAGACTACAAACATACTTAATATCAAGCATTTTTACTGTACAAATTTGGAGAAATTCAACAATAAAAGTCCCATATTTGTACCTCCATGTGGCATATTTTCATATATTTGAGCTACTGTAAAAACACTTTGCTCAATAATTCCTGGCTATGGATGGTGTATTTGACTTCTACACATCTAAGACTACAAGTATACTTAATATCAAGCATTTTTACTGTACCAATTTGGAGAAATTGAAGAATAAAAGTCCCATATTTATACTTCCAGATTCCATATTTTCTTATATTTTTGAGCTACTGTAAAAACATATTGCTCAATATTCGAAGCATTTTCATTATACTTCAATAATGCTGCAGTAATCATGACAAAAATTCACACAAATGTTTAATAACATCTTGATAATATAAACACTAAACACAAAATCCTACACAATTCTAATTTGTTTACTTTTCACACAAAATGCAATGCCAGTCCACATTCTTCTTATTTTGCTGCTCTGCTGTGTCCATTTGTAGGTAAAAGGGAAAAATAATTAGTTTTAACTTCAAAACACCATTGTACCTACTGTCTCTTCCTCACATATTATTTTTTATATTATTCAGTGTGACAGCTGTTGCAGGTGGTTCCACATTCAGTTTACATTTTTACAGTCGCTCAAATATAAGAAAATATGGAATCTGGAAGTATAAATATGAGACTTTTATTCTTCAATTTCTCCAGATTGGTACAGTAAAAATGCTTGATATTAAGCATACTTGTAGTCTTAGATGTGTAGACGTAAGATATACCATCCATAGCCAGGAATTATTGAGCAAAGTGTTTTTACAGTAGCTCAAATACGGTCAAATATGCAATCTCTGGAGGCATAAATATGAGACTTTTGTTTTGGCATTTCTCCACACTGGTGCAGTAAAGATACTTGATATAAAGTGTTTTTTTATTCATCAGGGGCACAACACTTTAATGTAACATATTTTATTTTAAATGTAGGTTCGAATTATAGCTTACTGTTCTAAATACCTTTATTTTAGCATTTACCATAATGCTGAGAATACTTGTACACTCTAAATTTAAGTGCGGCTGATTTGACCACGGAGATCGGACTCACGGCTGGATTGACCGCAGTCTACTAGCCTACTGTTTCTTCTCCACAGCACCGTCCTGTAAATGACAACATCCGGTCTCAGAATATGAAAAAACAGGCCTTTTTTCCGTTTCTGTTTTCTAGTGATTTTATTTTTTGTTATATGAAATAGAAAATGAAAATCGAATATTTTTTTATATTTCGCTCATCCCTTTCTGACAATGAAAAAGAAAAAACGCCTTGTATTTCAATTTTCATTTTTGTATTTTAAAACGAAAATCAAATAACCACTCGTTTTCTGTTTTTTAATACCCGTTTCTGAAAGGAACATCCAATGACCAAAACATACACGGACCCATGGCTTGTTAAACCAAGGAGCAACATGTTACCTGAACAGTGTGCTACAGGTGATGTTCATGACCAAAGACTTCACAGAGGCTGTGGAAAGGTTTGATAGTTCAACTTCATGTCTTGCAGTGTTGGTCTTTATTGATTCATATTGAACAGCATGTATTAACTCTGTTTAGGTACACCAGTGAGAATCCTGACACTGAGGGTATCGATCGTCATCTAAAAACCTTGTTTGATGATTTAAAAGGATATACAACGTACACCTATAATATCACAAAGAAGCTTTGCATTGACAGAGGTACAGTAAAAATATGTTAAAGTATCAAACCTACTTCTTGGTAAATGTTATCAGTTTATCTTTTATCTCAAACGTGTTAGTCATCTAAAATAATATTGAATATCTGCGTCCTACACACAGTCAGTAAATCTCCGTAGATAGACAACATCATCTGATGTTTTTCTTATTCTTTTCATCCTCAGTGTATGAACAACAAGATGCTGCTGAGTACTTTGAGAAGATTTTAAATCTGACCAGTTCTGAGGCATCACAGGTAAAGACACCATCAAAATCAAAGACAACCTGTACATTAAATGAAAAACTTTTTCTTCCAGTCTCTGTATTTTTGTGCTTTCAGATCTTCCGTGGACTGTTGACACACAGGACCAAATGTTCTACATGTTTTACAGAGACTGACACCGATGGAGCATTTTGGCATCTCCCTCTTGCATTGGTGAATTCCTACAGTGAACACTACAGTGTGGTAAGGATCTGACAACCTGAACTCTATAAAGTATTTTTCCCAGGAGATATCTAGTAAACGAAGTACATCATTTTTTAAGGCTAGCATCTTTGTCAGAGATCTCATCAGTTGGGTGAAACACAATAACAGTGATCTGATTTTTTTTATGACTCTTTCCATTTTCTTTTTTTCATTGTCTTTACTACCTAATTGTTGGTTGTCTGGCTTTGTTTGAATTAGGTGGATGGTATTGAAGAGTATTTCAGAACCACAGAGTCCAGTGGAGACAACCAGATGTACTGTGAGCACTGTGATGATAAATCTGATGCTACTACTGTGAGTAATGACACATTAACTGACTTGTCTATAACTCTGATTTTGAGATTTGATTAATAGTTCATGGTGTTGTAAATGTATGATAATAACTTGATAAAACATGTTGGGATCTGTGTTTTTAATTCAGCAATCTGTAATAAAGCGTCATCCAGAGGTTTTGATGCTGCTGTTGAAGAGGTTTGAGTTTGACTACCGCTACATGACACATGTCAAAATCAACTGCATTGTGGCTGTTCCCTGCACTCTACAGATACCAGAGGTATATATACAGGATATTTTACTGTTTTATCAGAACACGTTTATTTTTCATTCCTGGTGCTAATGTCTGTCATTTTGTCTCCTTATCATCAGAATCAGACATATGAACTGTACGCATTTGTGGATCATTTTGGAGATCTTAGAAGTGGACACTACACTGCTACAATCAAGGATGATGAGAGATGGCATAAATTTGATGATACCAGAGTCTCATTGGTAAGACTGATCACTAACTCCAGTGTTGTTCAAAGTTACATATTACAGTGCAAAAAAACCCTGATTTATCACATTTTATTATTCTTTTCACCAACAGTCTGATTATCAGCCATTCCAGGTGGACAACTTGGAGACGTAAGTTTTAGTTTTGTATTCTCATTTATTTCTCAAATGATAAAGAAAATATATTTTGTAGATTTTGTCTGAGAAATAATTTTCAGTGATACTTTGTCTTCAATCTCTTTTTGCTAAAAAAATCTAAAGAAATTCATTTCTGTATTGTGAATTAAATTTAATCGTGAATTGAGTGTATCATTATGTTTGTATTTGTTGCACATTACTGTAATGACAACTGCAGATAGTTTCTCTTAATCCACCCAACTCCAGCGATGGGTAAAAATCTGTACCCTTCTTTTTCTTTTCATATATATGCATAGGCTTATAGATGCGGAAACCCCTGAATAATCACAAGCCGTATATTTTCCTGTCTGAAAATGACTTTACTTTCTTTTCACATTGCTCTCACTAGATCCAGCAGTGCTTATCTTCTGTTTTATAGGAAAAGGAAAGGTAAGGTGGAAAACATTGTCAATATGCTTACTGGTGTGAAAAGTGAACACATGCATCAAATTGTTTGGCATTTTATCTGAATTTATTTTATAACTTTATACCTTTTTATATCTTTCCAGTGCATGCTGCAGATACTTGTCGTCGAGACATCAGGGAGGTGTCTCCTCCTGGAGCTTTCTCGTCTGATACCATTGATATCTATGACCAGAGTCAAGATGTAAAGATGAAGAGGATAGAGGAGACTGAGATGGCAGCAGCAGCGGGTAATGACACTGCAGAGGCTGTTTACTTCAACAGAAATGAAGAAACTGAAATTAAAGATGGTGTTGGGTCTAGAGGAGTGGAACTATCTGGGTCCTGCTTTAATGTGACAGAGAATGGAGTTCATAAGGGGCAGAGCATACCATCCAGTCAGTACTATAAAGACGAAAGGAATGATCAGAGTTATTCTCAAGACGCTCATGACAAAAAACAGAGAGATGAGGAGAAAACAATAATGCATGATAAGAAGGACATGGGAGGAAAGCATCAAGACAGTGGAGGATTAGACGATAATAGACAGAACATACATGAAAAGCTGGGAGGTACACAGGTCAAGCCTGCTAGTGTGGATGAACAGGGAGATGAGGGAGAGGATGCAAAGAGTCGTTGAGGTAGACAGAGAAAGAAAAACTAGAGCAGATGAAAGGGGGTTGGCATCAGGGGGAAGTAGGCTCTTGACAAAATATGACCTCTGCTCTCATCAGATTCAAAACAATAGAAGATTCGGTGATAGTGAACAGAAGATGCTAAAATATGATCCATCAGGAGAGGAAACAGAGAAGCAGTGGCAGGTATGAAAGACATGAGCAACACAGAGAGGAAAAGAGGGATGTTAAAGGAAACAAGGAACAAAAGAGAGGACATGATAAACATTCACAAAGTCGAGAAACAGAGAGACGACAACACTTTGGTCGAGATGTAGAAGTTCAGAACATTAGAGGATTAGATGTCAGACAGAAAACTAGTGTTACACATACAATAAATAAAGATGTTGCTGTAGAGACCAAAGAGCAGGAAGAGACAGACATAACAAACCTATTCAGGACAGAGCAGACTCTTCTCTTAGACGAACAGGATATGCAGGCAGCAGCAGACTGAATCAGGGAGTTGACATTGTAGAAGATGGAGTGGAAGAAAGATGTGGTTCAAAAAAGACAAAAACATATCAAGTTAAGATAATTGAGGAAGAGATTACAGAAACCCCTAGTGGCACTCAAAGAAGCTGTGAGACAAAACACATTGGAACAGTAGAGGAAACTTCACAACAGGACGCTTTGTCAAAGCCTTTTCGCAAATTAAAACTGAGTGAGTCCCTTTTTCCAGGGCTAAAGAAACGTGGAACCAAAAGAGCCAATAGAAATGCAGAAGATAAGAATGAGACAAACACTACAATTTATTCAACTGCTGGAAAAAAGAAAAAAACTCCTGGCTGCTTTTCAGGTTTTTCAGTGGGTAAAAACAAGACAAACCCGGGATCAGAATCTGACTAAGATGAAATACATACTTTGTCCAGTCATTATGGTGATCCACAAGATTTCATTTTTAGGTTTTGATTGATGCATATTGATACTTAGCAATAGCTACATGCCAGAGATCAGTTGGCAGCATTGACAGTATTGTACTGAATATTTTCCTTTTGATTCTTTTGGTTAATGCAGTTTGATTGTCTGTTGGAAGCACTCTTTTGTTTCTTCAGTCTTGTTCAATCTATTCAACAGATCACCTTTTCTGATTGTTGGTAATGTAAAAAGCAGCACTTCCTGTTTTCCACAGGATTGTTTCTGTGTAAAGAGCAGCAAATGTTAAAGATTTAAAGAGAGAGAGGGTTGTTTTAGATTAAAGTACTGATTTATTGTGACAGTCTGTAATAGCAAGTAAGACAAGAGAAAACTTAATACAAATGTAAAGTTAAAGAAACACAAGATCACATTTTTGCTCATTTGAAATCACATTCTGATTTTGGTCTTTTGTTGCTGTTCTCACCTTATTTAAATTTACAGTTTATACAGTTAAAGACGTACCGACCTTCTACATTTAGCTTTCAAAATAAAGATATAGAGATATATAAATAGATGGCATGTATGTTGCATCGACAAGGGATTGTGTAGTGAATTATAATTCAAATGTAAAGATGTTTGATTTGTTGTTTTCCTATACTGTTTTACTGTACAATAGTACAAAATACTGCATTATATTAAATGAATTAGGCGTATTAGTCTCAGCATTGTTTACCAGAAAGCACTTACTGTACTTTTCATATAACTGCATTGCTCTCTGACTGATGTTATAGATGCTTTAGATTTTATGTTTATCACTTTGAACTGAAATATTTATGTAATTTGTACAATTCGGATGCTGATTTGAAGAAATAAAAAACTACATCAGGAGAAAATGAAACAAATACTTGGATGAACACTGTTTTTGTGGAAAGTCATAAGTTATTCTATTTATGTTGCCTAAATCACAAATTTACCTCAAAGGGATTCACAATCTGTATGACATATATGACCCCTCTATTATTAGAAAAACATGACAAGAAACCAAGATTAATAATATGATAATCACCAAAACTGTTACTTTTGTGAGCAGAGTCTGGTATTGACAGCAGCAATCTGTGAGACTGTGTTCAGGATTATTAGTCACCCTCGCTGTTAACTTCCACATCGTCAGTCTGATTGTCACATGTTATTTTGAATCCTTGTTCTACCAGTTTAACGTTACCTGGGAACTGATCTGAGGACACTTTGTACAAAGAAATACATATTTGAGATATAAATACCTCTGTCTGTGTTGTGTCACTCTTGAAGAGCACTGAGATTTAATTTTCACTTTCAGTCTCTCACATTTACAGAAATTCACATGACAGGTTTATTTTGATCCGATGTTAAAAATGTATATGTTTTATTCTTATGATCTTTCCATATGACAGCTGAACACACAGCTGAACATGCAAGAGTTCTGACATAAAATAATTGACTCCTATTATTCACATTTATGTGCTTATTACCTAAAAAGTTTTAATTTCAGAATGAATCTGCCACATAAACAGTGTTTTATGTTGTGCAAAGCACAAAATGCTTCTCGCACGCACAATTTTTTAACAGTGTCTGCCATTTAACCTTCTTACTCTCATTTGCATAATTGTAATTGCCATATTTCCGAAAAACATTGAATGCATCATTTCAGTGGGTGAGTCTTTAAGTGAAAGGGAAAGTATTTTCTTTATTTTGAAGAGAGACGTCTTGCCGTATGCTTGCAATTATTTGCACATCTGTGCAAAAACAATTTTCCATTTATCAGTAAAAATCTCTTTAACTTCCATCTGAAGGGTGAGCTCGTATCGTTTCTTCTGTTTTCTTCAGTGTATCAGTTTCTGTTGCAGTGGATGATCTCTATGTGGACTGAAAATTAAAGGAATCAAAATGAATTTATTTGAAAGTGCTCGGCAGATGTTCCGATACAATGCAGGTAGGTCATTTACGTTTTTCATCCACAGTAATAGTAATTACTTCAGACAGTTAATTTACATGAATTATGAACAACCTCCTCCCAACAGTTCAGTACCATGGCTTGTTAAACCAAGGAGCAACAAGCTACTTGAACAGTGTGCTACAGGTGATGTTCATGACCAAAGACTTCACAGAGGCTGTGGAAAGGTTTGTTAGTTCAACTTCATGTCTTGTAGTGTTGGTCTTTATTGATTCATATTGAACAGCATGTATTAACTTTGTTAAGGTACACCAGTGAGAATCCTGACACTGAGGGTATCGATCGTCATCTAAAAACCTTGTTTGATGATTTAAAAGGACATACAGCATACACCTATAACATCACAAAGAGCTTCGCATTGACAGAGGTACAGTAAAAATATGTTAAAGTATCAAAACTACTTCTTGGTATTTGATCAGTTTATCTTTTATCTCAAACATGTTAGTCATCTAAAATAATATTTGCTTCCTACACACAGTCAGTAAATCTCCGTAGATAGACAACAATATCTAATGTTATTCTTATTCTTCTCATCCTCAGTATATGAAGAACGTGATGCTGCTGAGTACTTTGAGAAGATTTTAAATCTGACCAGTCCTGAGGCATCACAGGTAAAGACACCATCAATATCAAATACAACCTGTACATTAAATGACAAATGTTTTTTTCCAGTCTCTGTATTTTTGTGCTTTCAGATCTTTCATGGACTGTTGACACACAGGACCAAATGTTCTACATGTTTAACAGAGACTGACACCGATGGAGCATTTTGGCATCTCCCTCTTGCATTGGTGAATTCCTACAGTGAACACTACAGTGTGGTAAGGATCTGACAACCTGGAAACTTTGAAGCTGTTCAGGAGATATCTAGTAAACTATATATGTTATTTTCATATTAGTTTTTCAGATGTACAAACATTTTGATCTGAGCTCACAAGCCCTGTGATATTTTAAAGAAACTATCATCAGCACATTAACACACTTTATCACTTAATAAAATGCAGCTTTAGACATTAGAGACACATATAATAATAACAAGACAAAATAGTGGTTTGTCAGTGGAGTCCATTAATGTAACAAATGCCAGATTTCCTGTGTGTGCTGCCATAAATTCAACCGTGAATCACACAGATCAGAGAATGCTGCTTCACTGTGTGTTGAAGCTTTAAAGTATGTTGTACCTGAGGCTCGTGATCTGTGATGTCCCAGCAAGTGGTTTAATTTTGAAAAGTAATGAAATACCTGGTATGACATCATTGTTTGGTTTCAATCTAGTTTTCAGATTTGCGTGATTCAGTGCAAACTACCATTCCAGCCTCAGTGGATGCAACATAAAGACCAAAGCTTATTTTAGACAGTTGGCAAGCATTAATCTAAAGTTGGCTGTAAACTGGGTGTTGAAAACAACATGGATGTACTGGTCTTTAGGTAAATAAGAAGAGTCTTAGGCCCTGCATTTTTACTGGACTTCAATCGTAGTTGGCCAGAAAACATGAAAATTCCCAAACCAAACTTGAGATGCAACAGTGCACTTCTTGACCACATGTAAAAAGGCTAAGACTGACACTGGTGCTTATTTCAGGTGGATGGCATTGAAGAGTATTTCAGAACCACAGAGTTCAGCGGAGAAAACCAGATGTACTGTGAGCACTGTGATGATAAATCTGATGCTACTACTGTGAGTAAAGACACATTAACTGATTTGTCTATAACTCTGATTTTGAGATTTGATTAATAGTTCATGGTGTTGTAAATGTATGATAATAATTTGATAAAACATGTTGGGATCTGTGTTTTTAATTCAGCAATCTGTAATAAAGCATCATCCAGAGGTTTTGATGCTGCTGTTGAAGAGGTTTGAGTTCAGCTACTGCTACATGACATATGTCAAAATCAACTGCATTGTGGATGTTCCCTGCATTCTACAGATACCAGAGGTATATATACAGGATATTTTACTGTTTTATCAGAACACGTTTATTTTTCATTCCCGGTGCTAATGTCTGTCATTTTGTCTCCTGATGATCAGAATCAGACATATGAACTGTACGCAGTTGTGGATCATGTTGGAGATCATAGAAGTGGACATTACACTGCAACAATCAAGGATGATGAGAGATGGTATAACTTCAATGATTCCAGAGTCTCGCTGGTAAGACTGATTACTAACTTCAGTGTTGTTCAAAGTTACATATTACAGTGCAAAAAAACCCTGATTTATCACATTATGTTTGATTATTCTTTTAACCAACAGTCTGATTATCAGTCTTCCAACTTGGAGACGTAAGTTTTAGTCCTTTTTATTTCATGCCTACCATAAATGATTTCTAAAGTTTTTTGGATTGAGTATATATACAGGATGCATAACAGTGCATGTACAACAGAAAGCCCCTGTATTAAACACAAGCCATACATGTACATTTATTTGAAAATAACTTTTCTTAAATAAAAATTAACCATTTCTTTTCACATTCTCTCCCTAGATCCAGCAGTGCTTATCTTCTGTTTTATAGGAGAAGGAAAGGTAAGATGGCAAACATTTTCATTATGATTACTGATGTGAAATGTAAATGAATGCATTAAATTGTTTGGTATTTTATCTGAACTTATTTTATAACTTTATACCTTTTTATATCTTCCCAGTGCATGCTGCCAGTACTTGTACTCAAGACATCAGGGAGGTGTCTCCTCCTGGAGCTTTCCCATCTGATATAGTTGATATTGTGGCAGAGAATGGAGTACATAAGGGGCAGAGCATACCATGCAGCCAGGGCTATAAAGAGGAAAGAAATTATCAGAGTTATTCTCAAGATGCTCATGACAGAAAACAGAGAGATGAGGAGAAAATAATAATGCATGATAAGGAGGACATGGGAGGAAATGCAGAAACTAATGAGCAGGCAGTAAAAAAGAGAAAAACCTTTTCTAGAGAAACTGAACTTGAAGAGATTGTTGAGGATCAGGGCAATGGTAGTGGAAGACCACATGATGTTAGACAGAGGGGACCACTGGAGGGTTATGACATACACAACACATCACATCACAATCAGAAGCAGGAACAGGAATTCAGCAACATGAATGCGAGAGAAGAATATCCTCAACAAGTTTGTGTGCGAGTTGAGGACATGATGGATGTAAACAGAGACAAGGATGGAAAGATGTCAGGTGATGAACTGTCAGGAAGGAGAGACCTCAACAGGGACGTAGAGCATGTCAGACAGGAAATCAGTGTAAAAAATAAAGATGTTGCTGTAGAGACCAAAAAGCAGGAAGAGACAAGATATAACAATCCTATTCAGGACAGAGCAGACTCTTCTCTTAGACGAACAGGATCTGCAGGAAGCAGCAGACTGACTGAGAATCAGGGAGTTGATAGTGATGAAAAGACAAGACACAGGCAACCAAAAGTAAGACCTGAATATAATGAAGATAGAGTGGAAGAAAGACGTGGTTCAAAGAATACAAAAACATATCAAGACAGTGGAGGATTGGACAGTATTAGACAGAACATAAGTGAAAATCTGGTTGGTACACGGAAAGTTGGACAAGATTATGTCTTCAAGCCTGCTAGTGTGGACGAACAGGGAGATGAGGAGAGGATGAAAAGAGTTGTTGAGGTAGACAGGGAAAGAAAAACTGGAGCAGATGAAAGGGGGTTGGCATCAGGGGGAAGTACTCTCCTGACAAAATATGACCTCTACTCTCATCAGATTCAAGACAATAGAAGAGTATGTGATAGTGAACAGAATATGCTAAAATATGATCAGGAGAGTAAACAGAGAAGTAGTAGCAAGTATAAAAGACATGAGCAACACAAAGAGGAAACAAGGGATGTTAAAGGAGACAAGGAACAAAAAAGAGGACATGATAAACATTTACAAAGTCGAGAAACAGAGAGACGACAACACTTTGGTCGAGATGTAGAAGTTCAGAACATTAGAGGATTAGATGTCAGACAGAAAACTAGTGTTACACATACAATAAATAAAGATGTTGCTGTAGAGACCAAAGAGCAGGAAGAGACAGGATATAACAAACCTATTCAGGACAGAGCAGACTCTTCTCTTAGACAAAGAGGATCTGCAGGCAGCAGCAGACTGAATCAGGGAGTTGACATTATAGAAGATAGAGTGGAAGAAAGACACGGTTCAAAGAAGACAAAAACATATCAAGTTAAGATAATTGAGGAAGAGATTACAGAAAATCCTAGTGGCACTCAAAGAAGCTGTGAGAGGAAACACATAGGAACTGTAGAGGAGACTTCACAACAGGACACTTTGTCAGAGGGTGTTCACAATTTAAAACTGAGTGAGGGAAATAAATGTGGAACCAAAAGAGCCAATAGAAATGTGGAAGATAAGAATGAGATAAGTGCTACAATTGATTCAACTTCCGTAAAAAAACAAAAGCAAAACTCTGACAAAAAAGATGAGGAGAAAAGAAAATTGAGGTTTATCCCTTTCAAGAAAAAGACAAAAGAAAAAAAGAACAAAACCACTGGCCTCTTTTCACTTTTGTCAGGTTGTAAAAACAAGACAAACTCGGGATTAGACTCTGAGGAAGATTAAATACATACTTTGTCCAGAACAACACAAATAGTTATTTTTGACTGAGTCATTACGGTACATATACAGTTAAAGACGTACCGACCTTTTACATTTTGTTTTCAAAATAAAGATATAGAGATATATAAATAGATTGCATGTATGTTGCATCGACAAGGGATTGTGTAGAGAATAATAATACAAATGTAAAGATATTTGATTTCAATTTTATTTGTAATGTGTTGTTTTGTTGTACTGTTTTACTGTAAAATAATACAATTATTTCCAATTAATTAGGCCTATTAGTGTTAGTGTTGTTTACTATAATAATAATTATTTTATTTTATTTTAGATTTTATGTCTATCACTTTGAACCAAACTATTTGTGTCATTTGTGCAATTCTGATGCTGATTTGAAGAAATAAATAATTAAATAAGGAGAAGAAATGTTTTACCATTTTAACATTACCGGGGGAACTGATCTGAGAACACCTTGTACAAGGAAATACATATTTGAGATATAAATACCTCTGTATTTGTTGTGCCACTGTTAAAGAGCACTGAGGTTTAATTTTCACTTTCAATCTCTCACACATTTCCAAGAACTCACATGACATCTGAACAGACAGGCTTGTTTTTTTTTTTATTTAGTATAATTTGTTTCTCATTTCATTTTAACGTGATGGTGAAGCTATAACTCTGTATAATGGTTGTATGTTACCTTACAAATTCTCTCTTACAAATTATTCTGATATCAGTAGACTTAAAATAAACTAAAAGACAGCCCATGAAACTTTGTTTTGTTTATTTTCAAACAGATAAATGTTGCATTTATT